GGGGGAAGGAGGAGGGGGGTTGGGGGGGTGGAGGGAGGGAGGGGCACACACACAAAAAATTGTACTTCAACGTCTTAATGATTGAAAAATGACGAAATATTTGTGTGTTTTTTTTTAAAGAAATAAAATAAATATTTGTCACAAAAAAAAAGAGAGGAGCTTAGTGACTGAGTAGAATTGAACGATATTAAATCACAACAATTAAAATTCCTATCTGATTATTCATTTATATGGCAATATATTAAATGTTCTAAAACTACACTTAACTTTGTCATACATACTTTACTGCCACATTGCAGTATAAACCTGACAGTGAACACAAGTTGATTTCTTTTCCTCAGGAGTAGTAATACAAATGAGGATCTTTTTCTACATGAATCTCAGTAAGTTCAAAGAAGTTTCTAAACTGTCCTAGAGAACATTTATTGATCATTCTATTTTTTCTTGTTCTATTATTAACATGGTTATTTTTATTTACTTATATTTATTCCATGCTAGTATTGTCTATTCTGTGACAGATAGATATGGGATGAATGGATGGATGGATAGGGAGGGAGAGGAAGAAAGAAAGGGAAGGGGAAAGAGAGAGGGGGAGGAGGGAGAGATAGATAATGCAGCAGATTTGAAACTTCTTTCATACCAAAGGATAAGAAATTGCTTCTCCTATCACTAAAAAAGTGATAAACAGAAGAAAATTGTGCTATTCTATTCAGAGGATGAATACCTTAGATCAAGGCTGTCATATTCTGGCCATGCCCACACCTGGGTTTGGCAAAGGGGGGAAGTTCCAATACATGATGCTACTGTGACAACGTGAGTTTGACACCCCTGCCACCTCTGAATATTAAATACTGAAGACAGGAAGGCAAACATTTCTGTACTGTAGAAAATTGTAGATTTGTAATAATTAGAGACATGATACAAAAAAACCAACCAAATATACAGTTCAAATATTAGTTGGATCTCGTCATTGGATTGTAATTCAACAAGTACTAGAAATTTCTGAGTGACTGTAATTAGCGCTTTAGTATATCCTGGCAAATAATTTGTAATAAATTATATATTAAAAAAGATTTAAACTCCTTCATACTCCTAATCCTATATACAGCATTGCATTAAGAAAAACATGAGACATTGTCCATGATTTTATACCCAGACCATTCTTGGTTTCAGCTTAAATTCTTTCACAGCAATGTTTCAGAGTTTCATACAGGAGTCTTTCTCAGTCCTATCCAGAGGTTATTGGAATTGGAGCTGGAATATTTTGCATAGAAAGCACATGCTTATCATACATACATACATACATACATACATACATACATACATACATACATACGGTACATACATTTCTTTTTCTATGTCACCAGGAGAGTCAACAACTGGTATAGGAAAGGAATAGGCAGACTAATATATGTCATCAATTACCTGTCCATTAAAGGGTATATTTAACAAATGTACTTCAACAGCATTCCTCTAAAAATCTGAATATTTACTAACATGGCAGTTAAGAGGTGTTAATGAATGATTCATCCTTGATATTTGTATAGGCACCACTAATTTAGTGCTACAGCTCTTCATACAAACCATCACAAACAGTATGATTATATTGCCCATGCAAGAACAGGTGGAAGAGCTTGAGAAAATAATTTTACTTTGACTATGTAAATACATTTATGCAAATTATGTCATCTACGTATTCCTTTTGCTAAGAAAAAATGAATTATTTGCATTCAGCCATCCCTCATTCTAAACATGAACTCAAAATAGTTATTTTGAATAGGAAAAAAAAACCCAAATCATATGGGAATATAAATAAATCTTACCACTCCAATTGAAAAGTAATTATTAATGATGCTGTAAGGCACAGGATCTCCTTTTTCATCTTTATCGTTAGGTATGACTTCAAACTTCCACCTGTCCAGCAAGATTTCGGTACTGTTCTCAATATCTTTTAAAATCTTGAGAAGATTCTCCCCTTCATATCCTTTTGAAAAAGAAATAAAACAGGGATTTGAAATGGCAGATTTAGGAACCTGGTCACCATCTCACCATTAATACATAAAAGATACATTTAACCTGAGCCAGGCATTAACACCTATCTGTACCACTGGTTCTGCTTCAATGACTTGCCACCATTTCAGCAAAGGGCACAGACATTGGAACTAAAAGTATGGTTTTAGCATCTTCTCACTATTTAGGTAGCTGAGTTGGGAATCAGACACTGCACTGCAAAACATGAAACAAAGCAACTAGTCCACCACAAACTTTATTAATAATCACTTGGCTCCCTGTTTATTGCTGAATAATTGCAAAATAATTGTATGTTGTCTTAATTGCCAATGCATAGTAGCAGTAAGTGTCAGCAGTAAGCAGTAAGTGGGTGAAGAAGTGGTAGCAATGCTGAAGCAAGCAATATCAAAGCAAAGTTAATTAATGGCATTATGTTAAGAAATACTCAACTATTATTCCAAGATAAGGTTTCAGGGGGGAAAAAAACTTCAGGGACCTTGATTCAATGGATTTCTGTATATCAGTAACATCACTTGGAAAACTTAATCATTAGTCATAAGGTCCTATCTTTCAGAATATTTATATGCAATACAAAAATAAAGGTCCAATCAATGGAATATTATAGCTGGATTGATATAATTATATTATTTCATTATGTTAATTTTAAAATATATTTATGCATCAAATATTTTCATAAATCTAAACTATTTGAGTGTAGAAATACAACTTTTTGGTCAGTTTCTCATCACTGGAATGTGTTGTGTTGGCACATGATACTCCTTCCAGTTTGCAAACTGACCAATATTTATGTTTCTGTGGACTGTATCTGTATATGATTTTTGATATCCAGGTAGCTAGCTTTCCCAGTCTTTGGGAACCTAACTCTAACCCTATTGTTTCTTTTTTCCCAAGTAATGAATGTTTTTAATATTTTATTTCTGTTACACAAAAGATACAGGTAGCTTTATTTCTGCAATGTTAAATATTTATTTTCTCAATACTCCTGATGTTACAATACCAGCCATTCCTACCAGTCAGGTAGCATACAAGATTTGCTTGCCTCTTAATAGGTATCAGCTGGCACCTCTTTGCTCATGCTTAAGCCTCTTACAATACCTTCTAGTCTTTTTGTTAATGGAAACATGTGTGGAAAGGACGTTGGTCTTACCTGAACGTCTATTTTCTGAGGGGAGGAGGGAATGGTCACACGTGGGTTTTATCACAGCCTGATTGGTCCAAGACTGAGAGGAAATCTATAAATACTGGTGCCTGTCCACTGTTAGCCCAGATTCTCTCT